GAAACTTCAGGAGCAATAACAGAAACCAACTTTCCCATGTTGACGCGTTGCCAACAACCATTTCATGAGCTAACAGGGTTCCTTATGTATACGCCTAAGACGAGTGGAAGACAAAATACATCTTTTTCTTCTCACTAGTGGTCGTCTCCTTCCCGAAAGTTTGCTAACTTGGCAGAGCGCTACCTCCAGGGGAGAGGGCGCGGTAAAGCTTCGTGCAAATCACTTGGTTTTGCAACTGCCTCCGTGATACCATGATACGCCCATCTCTGACCAAGGGAAGACGTCATGTCGTGACGTCATATCTACGACCATGAGCCCAGTAAAACTTTCACCTTAATGTCTCCAAAAAAATGGAAGTAATCGAAGAAAAACCAATGCACACCTATACTTCTGCTAGGCGCACGCGCTAACGCCTGTCTAGAAAAGGCATTTAACTGTCCGCAGAGTCAATACTTCTGTTATTTCACTCGATAAGTTCGCGTGATCTAAATGCTGTCACGCACACTCTAAAATGTGCGCTAAGAAATACAGAATGGTAGGTTTGGACAAATATCCACATACATAACATCTGCTAGAAATTATTATATACTTTCCCATAGTATAGCTAACGTTTTCGGTTAATAGTGTGCATTTCCGCTACACCAGAAAGACGTGCAGTGAAGCGGCGCTTCTGGGCGATTGCAGAATGTTTCCAAGCTGAACGACAGCTAGCGTTTAAATCGTGCTTTAAGAGTTACAGCGTCCTTGGCTGGTTGTTGTTCACGATTAGCACTTCAGTTGTCATATGCTTAGCAAACTAATAGAACGTCAGCATGTTCGGTCGAACGCCACTCCACAAGCGAATGTTAGTCCTAACTATGTTGTTGAGCAACCACTATATCAACAGATATACTAGTGCCATCATTACAAAGACGTAGATACAGATGGGTAAAAGGGCAGCAAGGCTATACGGGCTCGAAGTGGCGTGAGGTGCAAAATAAGACCAATACTATTGGCAAGGGGCGAACGCCGCTTTTGAGTCATGTGTCAATTACTGCGTGAACAGCCGTATACAGCGTAGGCTTATTCCTCCTTCACTCGAATGACTCACACGAGCATGCGTGCTTCATGTAGAGGAATAACGACTGTTAAATAGCTTTTGTACGTGTCCATGTATCCGGTATAATTTGCATCGATAGCGAACTTCTCTGCACACCATGAAAATAGTTAGACCAAAGATTGTTTTCGGCAACGGAAGCCGCTCGTTCATGGCCATGGGCCTCACTGATACAAGAAATCAGTGAGTGCATTGACTTTACCGCAGCCATTTTCTTCCAGTTGATGGGCCTCTGAGATCCTTTTGTAGAGTCGATGCGCAGCTTCGCACATTAAGTTTAGCGATAAACGTTTAAATAAATGCATGTGAGCAGGGGTTGACGCCGTCTGCTCTTTAGCTCCTGCGCACTAACGAGGAACACTTTAAACTTCTACACTTAAAACCCCCGGCGAGTATCTCGGTCCCTACACACTTCGCCCTCCGAGACGTCAGCCTGCATTCAACGAATGATCATGTGCTGGAATTCTTCATTAAAAAATTCAACCAGTCGAGATGAACGTACGATATGGCGACTAGCCAATAGTGTATGTTACGAACGAAAGACTTCGTGAATTTTTACTCCATATGAGGCATGTAAATATGTAAGCTATCGCTATCATCGTTCAGTGCAGGAGAGTGCTGCAAACAAAAAAAACGGTCATCAACTTTTCCTTGCTTCTCAGCATACTTCCCACGTCCAATAATGCTGAAATATGACACAGCATGTTAATTTACCCGAGCGCATAAACACGTATCTTGGTGCATGCACTTTGGATGTAAAATACAGCGTGTGTCACAAACTATTTGTAAGAGTTCGCATTGAATGGGCCACCCACTTCCTAGTCACTATTGGCTGAGGCGAGCTCCTCTGGGTACCTTGTGAGAAACATCAACTTGCTGTGATGATGGTGTTCGTTATGTTTGTTTACCTGACGAACTCGGGCTGCGTTTGATGTACGAGTATAGCACGCGCTCTTCGTAAAACGGCTGACTACACCTTGACTAACGTTCGTATACTACTTCAACTAACAGCACCCTGTATAATTTGGGAGTGCTTGCACAGAGTCTTTTATCTTGCCTGCATAATCTAGCGCCTATAGACCTATTCCACGTTTGTAGACAGGGGTAGGCGCCCGCGTCGACATAGTGAGGCACTTGTAGCGAAGTCGCGGTGTGCAGCCGAAATCTATAGCCTCGCCAAAGCTCGTTCGTGCGGGAGGCTCCCCGACGTCACTACAAGCGCCTCGCTATGTCGACGGCACTTACCCCTGTTTGCAAACATGACGTGCGTCTATACTCCATAGTGTAGAGGACGGTCACGAAAAATTGCCTTCGGAACTAGATATAGGAAACAAGGCGTGTGCCCAAATGTCGCGACGCTTATCAGTGACGCTGAAGTGTCAAACGGCTTGTTTCTTAGAAGGCCGTACTGGTAACGGAGGGGGATCGTGGGTCCGCTAAGCAGATAAGAGCGTTTCCGCTGCGACGCGTATATGAAATACAGATAGGCTAGATAACGGAAATAAACACCTTATCTGCGGAGCTGATGGGAAAGGGTGAGCTCACTCAAGACGCCAGCGCGTCTGTATTAGAAGTGGAACTTTTGAGTGCCGTGTGGGCGTTCGGACGTACGTGAGTTCCACGGGCACAGGCGGGCGAAAAATGTCCAAGAAAGCACCCGTGGCGTGGCTGCATCAAATGCCCTCAAGTCTGCACCGCGTGAAGTCCTTGCAATTTGTATCTTTCATATCCCAAACTCTCTCGTAGCCTTCATGCGCCGTCATTATGTAGCACCTATTTTAGTACATCACTCACATTCATAAATGGTCAGATTATTCAGTGTACGGTGTACTGTGTACGGTGAAAACTCGAAGAATGGGTGACGTATACGAATTGGAACAGCGGGACATACAACATCAATGTTATAAATAAACGCCCACAATCACATCGTAAACTTCACATCTTCCCCCCACTGTCATCAGAAATTGAACTCCCAAGTATTTATGAGGAATTTCACCGAAAAGTTTCGCCATATAGTGATGTGTGCTTTCCTGCGTCTCGGATACATCAGGTTATCAGTTTAACTCAAGGCGCAAGAAGCCAGACCTAACGTGAACAGTTGATTCGCAAATTTCCGGAGATATTGAAGAGATTTCGCTTATATACCTTTACTGAGGACTATACTGCACGTGAGGAAGACCTTTGTTGTATTTTAATCTCTTTTTAGTGGAATTATACAGGGACATGTTGGCACACAAATAGAGCACCGACTGCTACTTATCTCTAGAGATGTCAAACATAGAACAAGCAGGGTTCGAATTTCCGGACATAAATGGTTGTACCTATTGTACCTAAGTTTAATCTAGCACGGAATATTTATATTCGTCATTCCTACAGCGTTATAAACTTAACGAATGTCAGTAGTGTATACGCTACCCGCAACTGAAAAAAGATAGATCAAAAGGAGTTCGAGTGAAGCATGAAGTACAATGACCCAATGTTACTTTTTTTAACTGATGGTTATGCAATGTAATCAACTCAGGCAGCTCCAGTTCAGTGTAGGTCAATATTGCGTAAGGTAACATCTTAATAAAGGGATGCAGCCTGCTGCAACAAGAATAACAACGTGACATATCGAAAATTAAGCTCTGCAATTTGAGGTGCCAAAGAACGACTGGTTATGAGACACGCCTTATCAGGGGATGCCACATTAATCTTTACCCCTGCCATCACACGTCTCTTAACGGACTGCGACAAAAAGATGAGAGGTGAACATGTCCTTTATTGTGTTCCTATAATGGTGGAGACGGTTGTTCAAGCAGTTGCCCCCTTTGCCAAATGTGTAGCTTTTCAGCAACGCGGAGGAATAAAAACGACGCTGACAACCACTCTTCTAGACTTGAGAGATAATAGGCGGCCTTCCGAAGAAAACGAACGTTAAATACAAATGGAAGCTTGAGAGCTCTCAAAATTCTGCAGCTATTACCAAGCAGCTACCTGCGAAGGTAATCCCATAACTACACTACCCTTATAGTGAGACGAAACAAAGGATCAGAGTTCGGCATCCTATTTAAAGCATTCTTATGTTGGTATTAATCAGACTCTCAACTCTGATAGCACTGCAAAAAGCTCAGAACCACCGAAAAATGAGGCACTGATAGGTGAATACCCTATAGCGCTTCTTGACATTGTATTGGCTGGTCATAGGGCTTTATAGACCCTCGTTGTGATTCCTGCTTGTTCTTCTCTGTACTGCGCATCGGCTCAACTAATAGCGCCACTTTTCATGGTTCAATAAGGACCAAGTTCTAGGGGCACGTGCTGAGGCTTTCTTTTTCTTTCCTGATATCCGCCATTGTAACGCAGGTAAAGTCTACATTTTCTCGGTCAGCAAACTTCCGTTGTCCACGATACTTGCACAAATGAATACGCCTTCGCGTGTTCGGTAACCTGCATGGCGGAAAAGTTGGCTTCATAATTACGAAAAGGGTATGAATAACAGCATCCAGTGCCTCGCGGCATAATTAGGAAACAATATCTACTTATCTCGTGCGCTTTCGCAAGATACGCAAGTTGATCTCTCACTTGCTCATGAAATCTACAAAAAAATACAAAGAGGGGAAATGGGGCTGTGTAAACACGGCAACAAGAAAAAGTTGTACTTGCCGTTCAAAGCTTTTACTTGTGATTTCTCCGTCCGGGAGGTCATTTATAAACGTGTCTTTCGAATTACTCACTGTCCAAAATTACAGTGTCTCGCACGATCACGATCCGGGCTCATCTAGCGGGATGCCGAGCCAACTCGTTTCGGTCCGGATTACGCCCGTACGCCACGACCCCTCTCCCGCCCCGACCGCATCGCCAATTTTCACCCGGCCGTAATGAACGGCTTGGCCGCGACTAATTACCACCGCGATAGGCATACCTGCACTTTCCAGCGTCGCTCCGCAGCAGGCGCGGGGGGTTCGGGGTCTTGAAACATGCGCACGATGCCGATGGGCGAACTGCAGTCGGGCACAATCTGGTCAGGCTCGAAGACCATGTCGTCGCACATAACTTCCTCCGCGCACGGTCGGCAATCCTTCAACGCCGCCGCGGTCGTTGCGAGCGCACCGGTGGTTTCCATGGTCGGCAGGCATGCGAACTTCTTCCGGGGGCCCCCGAGTCTTCGTGCCGAGTCCTATACACGACGCTTATGACGGCACTCCGTTTTGCTTCTTGGCGATAGCGTCGACTACGCGACTCTTTCGAGCGAGCGACACACTCGGGATTCGAACCGCGGAGCACGGGATAGCGAGATCATGAAAGACACACACACACGTGCGCGCACACACAACAACGAGCACCGCCGCGCAGAGAGGTGTTCACTGCGCGTACGACGACGCCTCAATGGTGGTGGTGGTAGTGGTTACAATGAAGAGGAAAAAGGCACCTAATTTCTGTCTGCCTTCAGGCGACACGGCGCAGTGCCTTATAGGGGTGGGGGGAAGGAGGGATAAAAAGAATAGAAGGAAAGTAGAAGCAGAAGAAGACAGCCAACGAGAGGAAAAAGAAGGAGATAGGAAAGTGGGGATCCGGTCGAAGCAGTCCAAGGGCGGGGTGCCACAATGCGAGAGCTACACGGCATCAGGAGACCGCGGAGGGCGAACCAGTCGGCGGGAGCTACGCTGAAGTCGGAGATCGCGAGGGCACAACCGTCCAGCTTGAAATCCTGCGAGCGAATCAGCGAATGGTGGTGGTGGTAGTGGTTACAATGAAGAGGAAAAAGGCACCTAATTTCTGTCTGCCTTCAGGCGACACGGCGCAGTGCCTTATAGGGGTGGGGTGAAGGAGGGATAAAAAGGATAGAAGGAAAGTAGAAGCAGAAGAAGACAGCCAACGAGAGGAAAAAGAAGGAGATAGGAAAGTGGGGATCCGGTCGAAGCAGTCCAAGGGCGGGGTGCCACAATGCGAGAGCTACACGGCGTCAGGAGACCGCGGAGGGCGAACCAGTCGGCGGGAGCTACGCTGAAGTCGGAGATCGCGAGGGCACAACCGTCCAGCTTGAAATCCTGCGAGCGAATCCTCAATGGTCCTTTCTTGTTTGCTTCGCGACTGCTCCCGTCTCTCTCTCTCTCTCTCTCTCTCCACACGCGCGGGCCGCACTCTTGCCCGAAGATGAGGTGTTTCTATATTTTTATAGCCGCTTTCTCCTCCTCCTCCCGACGTAAGGCGCACCGCCGGAGGAAATGCTCCCGTCCCTTGCTCTCTGCCTTTTCTAGCTTCCTCCCCGCTGCTCTCCACGCTGCAGTGGCGCAGGGTACCTCAGCTAGGATTCGAGCACGGCTCTCATCTTAGAAGGCAGCAGTTTGGGATTCGCTCGCAGGATTTCAAGCTGGACGGTTGTGCCCTCGCGATCTCCGACTTCAGCGTAGCTCCCGCCGACTGGTTCGCCCTCCGCGGTCTCCTGACGCCGTGTAGCTCTCGCATTGTGGCACCCCGCCCTTGGACTGCTTCGACCGGATCCCCACTTTCCTATCTCCTTCTTTTCCTCTCGTTGGCTGTCTTCTTCTGCTTCTACTTTCCTTCTATCCTTTTTATCCCTCCTTCACCCCACCCCTATAAGGCACTGCGCCGTGTCGCCTGAAGGCAGACAGAAATTAGGTGCCTTTTTCCTCTTCATTGTAACCACTACCACCACCCACCTCAGCTAGGGTGACTCTACCGAAGCCACTAGAATGCCAAGTAGTTTTTTTTTTTTTTTCTAGCGCTTAGTTGGTGATAACTCGGTAGCTAGCCACCACACAAACGCTCAGCTCCGATCTGTATAGTACCTCCATTTCCCCTCCCTTCTCCTTTAAACGCTGAGCCAAGGTCTCTATTAGGAAGGCGTGAAGTAACGTGTCTTCCTTCAGAACCATGACTTTACATGAGCAGTGAAGGAACTGTTTGCACATGTTGACAAGACATGATATAAACTAAAACTGCACGGGACGAGGACGGGAAACAGCCTTGAGACACACAGCGCTCGTACATCTCAAGCCTCTTCGTTGTCTTGATCCTTTGCGCTTTCAGCTTTTATCCAGCACAAGCGCTGTGATCCAACAAACCGAGGGTTAATGAAAGCTTAGCATAGTAGGAAGGACGTTCATATTGGTAAGCGCTAATCTTGTTTCTTTTTGTTTTTTTTTTCAGGTGCTATCTTCAAATGCAAGGTGCCCTTCTGCGATGTCTCCTTGTGCTGCGTACTAGTATTTTTTTTGTATATTCCTGTATTCGATGCATATGCGCCCCGAAGAACGACATATAGTCACGCATCTTCGCCAAATAAAATTATTTGAGCGTATTATTTTATGCCACAGACCTCTACAGACCACGTGGAAGATCCCGTGTGGCCTTTCGCCTGAGTTATTCATTAAGTGCGATCTAAGCAAAGGCTCAATCGTACGAGCAACACTCCAGTATCGGGGTATTTTGTATTGTGTAATACGTATGAGATATTGCACTCTCTGAGCATCCCTCCGGTAATCACGACGAGCATGGCGCGCCACTCGAGCGGATACTTTTTTTTCTTTTTTTTTTTGCTTCCGTCGGATGTTAGCTCGTAGAGGTATCTTGTCAGGCACACGCAGCGCGCGAGTGGGAATGTCTCTTTCAGCAAGTCTCAATGAAAGTTCTTGTCACTGTCTTAGAACCTGCGAACTAATTTGGCGTTTTTTTTTCTATATGGCAGGCCAGCGTACTTTGCCAGTTCGATATGCACTCACAGGTCTTTCGGAGGACTGCCAAATTTCCGTGGAGAAAAAAAAATTCGGCCGATTCCACGTACCTGGGAATCGACGTTATGCGGAGCATGCGGAGGGAACGTGACCATGTTGCAAAACCAGAAGCCGATATGAAGCGCTGATGCTGGCCCTGGACACTGCTATATAAATCAACTTCAGCGCATGGCACCTAACCGCAATTGGCGTAAGCCCAACGTGACGGCTGTATCAAAGGAGTACATACGTAATGTTTATAAAATTGGGTACGCAGTACTGGAACTTCTATTGACGTTTCACGAAAATTAGCGTCTATTTGATATATAGCTCTGAGACCTGGCGTAGCTCTGTGGTAGAATGCTTGACTGCCACGCAAGGTGCTTGGGTTCGATTCCTGCTGGGACCATGAAATTTGTTATTTGCATTCGTCGGAGGGTCATCATTGTCAATGTCAGGCTTTTCTGAACACTGACATTTATTCTAGGCCTTAGTTGGTCGACGCTACCGATGTCGGGCATTGCTTAACGCTGACGCGTTAAATTGCCCACGAGTGTTCTCGTCGTTCCTGGGTAGAACTAAGTGTCAATCACCTGTGGCACATACCCGCATGCCAGCGGAACATGCAGCCCGTGTGCATTTGCCACTGTCTGAGAGTAGGGTAGCAAACTGGACGCATAGTCTAGTTAACCTCCCTACCTTTCCTACATTCCTTCTCTCTCTCTCTCTTTTGACGGGAAGTGTTTGACGACATACGCGACGGGATTGTGACATTATTTTTGTCTTGACCAGCGCGTCATATTCGTCAAACCATCTTACCCTCTTATGCTGATTTTGGTTCACGCCAAGTTAAGGGGTGATCACGAGAGCACCCAAACGTAAGCGGCTACATAGATAGATTGATTGATATGCTCAAAGTTGCCAAAGTTCACCAAGAAATTCTTCGTATTTAAAAAAATTCTTTTTGAAGATTAAAGCGTGGCAGATTGCCCAACAATTCCAGCAGACGATGCAGACGTTTCGAGGATAACAGATAGGCAATATGCTGTTAAAGACCGCACGCAGCGCGCGAAAGATAAAAAAAATGATAGGCGTATAATATAGATGTTGAAACACAGCAGCATCACTAAAAACCAAACAGGTACAGCCTACATTCTAATTGATATTAACAGAGAGGGGGAAAAATGTCTCAACTCCTCGAAAGGAATCATAAGAACATCCAAATGCATTTCTTGCGCCGAGAGAGGGCACCACTGCCGTCAGACATTCGCCTTCACCGACTTCTGCCATCGCCTTGAGAGGAGCCCCGGCCAAAGAACGGTCGAGAGGGAGGAGCAAGCGGACGAGAGAGTGGAACGCCAGCGTTCTCGGCTCGGCGTTTCACAGCGGCGTCTCGAGTAGACATTTCCGGACGTTCTTGAGAGGCGCCCAGCCAGCGAACAGTCGAGAGTGAGGCTCGAGTGGACGGGAGAGTGGGGCGCAGGGAGGAGAGAGAGCGAATGGCGAGGGAAGGAGCGGCGAACCATGCACCTACCCTCTCCTACATTCTTTTACACCACATGCTCCGGTTGCTAGAGGCGAGGATAAGCGCGCGCGCCCGCAGCTGTAGCAATCGGAGAGGGAGTGAGAGCGGAGAGAACACCTCCTGGCGCGCGGCCGCCACCTGATGCCTGACATAGCCCGACTAAAAAATGCATTCGCATTAAAAAAAACAAAAACAGCTGGACAGGCCACAGACGTAGTTAAGGAACAGGACAGGCGTGGTTAACGAACGGAATTGGTACGAAGGATTGAGAAATGCAGTCAGTAATTTATTGTAAACCATTCACCGAAATAGTCGTTCTGCAGTGGACGAAAAAAATAAGCACATTGTGACTAATTACCTTTACAATTAATTACTTTGCGGTACATACTGCGACGGACGAATTGTTGCCGGCAAGTTCGCAATGTTTAGTATATACTGTGAACGAAATGTCAGGGTGACAATGGTTTCGATATATCAGTTTCCGAAGTGTACGACGAAATACTAGGCGGTATGGTTATACTGTTATGCATCAAAGGGCAAAATAACGTTTTAACAATTGTTATTTGAGTTTGTGGCGCAACGTTTATGTTTTCGCGTTTCTTTATCGCGTACGTCAAAATCAGCGCCACTCTTATACTTTGTTCCAAGTAAATAGACGCCTTGCATATTCCCTTGTTAAAATTCGTCAGTTGCAATATGAGGCTTAAAGTAATCAGTTTTAGGAATAATTAGTGAGCTACAGGTAATTAACAACGAATTGGCGTTCACTCAGAACGTATGTGTGTGCTCCCAAAATGACAGCCTGCTTTCATGAAGTTTTCATTTTTTTTTTCGTAAAACTTTGTCTTGAAGAGTTCTTGACAGCCTTCAGAACAACACCCACATACGGTGTACAACGAGGAACTATATGAAGGCATTTTCATTCACATCCCGTTGTTATTGTCGCTGCTTGACGAGCATTGGCCAGAAACCTGCGGTGTTGTCTCTGTACCGTCAGGACCGGTACTACGAAAGATGCGAAATGAAGAGCACGGAAAGCAATGGGGAGCGTAAGACGTTATCATGTGGGAGGCGGGCCAGATAGCGAGCACGCGAGTTACACAGTGAAATCA